CGCAGCTCAGATAAGCCGCCTCGACAATGGAGGAACGGAACATGGTCCACTCGGACTCAATGTCCCGCCCGGGATGTGTTCGAAGTTCTGCCGGAGATGGGAGTTAAAGCTCCGCCTAACAGGGGACTCCACCAGACGTTCCCAGCAGACCCTCACAACACGTTTGGGCCTGCCAGGTCTGACCGGCATCCTCCCCCACCACCGGAGCCAACTCACCACCAGGTAGTGGTCAGTGGAAAGCTCAGCACCTCTCTTCAACCGAGTGTCCAAGACATACGGCCGCAAGTCCGATGAAACGATGACAAAGTCGATCATCGAACTGCGGCCTAGGGTGTCCTGGTGCCATGTGCACATATGGACACCCTTATGCTTGAACATGGTGTTCGTTATTGACAATCCATGACGAGCACAGAAGTCCAACAACAGAACACCACTCGAGTTCAGATCAAGGCGGCCATTCCTCCCAACCACGCCCCTCCAGGTCTCACTGTCATTGCCCACGTGAGCGTTGAAGTCTCCCAGCAGAACAAGGGAATCCCCAGGAGGGGCACCCTCCAGTACCCCCTCTAAGGACTCCAAGAAAGGTGGGTAATCTGAACTGTTGTTCTGCCCGTAAGCACAGACAACAGTCAGAACCCGTCCCCCCACCCGTAGGCGGAGGGAGGCTACCCTCTCGTTCACCGGGGTAAACCCCAACGTACAGGCACCGAGATGGGGGGCAACAAGTATGCCCACTTCTGCCTGGCGCCTCTCACCGTGGGCAACTCCAGAGTGGAAGTATGTCCAGCCCCTCTCAAGGAGACTGGTTCCAGAACCAGAACCATGCGTTGAGGTGAGACTGACTATTTCTAGCCGGAACCTCTCAGCCTCACACACTAGCTCCGGCTCTTTCCCCACCAGCGAGGTGACATTCCACGTCCCAAGAGCCAGCTTCTGCAGCTGAGGATTGGACCGCCAGGGTCCCCTCCCCCGGCCGCCACCCAACACACATTGCACCCGACCCCTATGGCCCCTCTCACGGGTGGTGGGCCCATGTAAGGGGGGACCCATGTTTCCTCTTCGGGCTGAGCCCGGCCGGGCCCTATGGGTAAAAGCCCGGCCACCAAGCGCTCGCCATCGTGGCCCCCCTCCAGGCCTGGCTCCAGAGTGGGGCCCCGGTGACCCGCGTCCGGGCGAGGGAACGCTGAATCCAAATATTTTGCTCAGTATGCTCAGTATGCAGTAATATAATAATTTCAGATTTGCCGTTTATTAGCTCTAATATCAAACGGCACTCATGTTTTTAAAATATTAACATCAACTTTTCCCTGACAGCATGGTGGGAATTTCTTAAAATGTTGAAGTCATCACTTATCCCGTGCAGTCGTACACCCATCTGGAATAACCCCGACATTCTACAAAACAATAATATGATAAACTTTCCGCACTGGAAGAATAAAGGTATTAACTATCTGGATCATTTGTTTGAAGGTACGGAGTTTATCACATTTGCTAGATTAAATTTGCAATATGGCATTAACAAAAATAAATTCTTAGAATATGAGCAAATTAAAGCTATAATTAGAAACAAATTTAAGCATATTGATGGAGGTTTAAAAATTCCAACTAATATATCAGAGTTCCTAGACTTAAAACCCCCCAAATTACTGTCTAAATTATACAAGACTGAATAAATTGGCTGATAAAATATCTCTTCCTATTATTAAATGGAAGGAGGATTTATCAGTCAGCTTTGAACAAAACATCTGGGCTCAGATATATCTAAGAACTTTTCACATGTCTAGAAACCACAATTTACAACTTATGCAATACAAAATCCTCCACAGATTGCACTACTAAGAGTTTAAATAATAATCGTTTTGTATCGATGCATTGATCCAACAGCCGACGATCCGATGCATCGATACGTCCGCAAGAGTATCGATTCATGTGTTGTTTTTTTCCCTGCAGTCTATTTTTATCCATTTGCTCCTGGAGGTTCTTCCTCCCGTGCTGCGGTGGTGCTAAACCTATTTTGCCCTCCTTCCTCGATTCTGGTTATACTCCCGGTTTTACTCTTACAGCAGTGTGTTGCAGTAAGCTTGACACACACATTTTTAATTTATGCTCAATATTGAAGCGTGGTCTGTGCTATACACTGCGGGTCTAGATACGGCCGAGGCGGTGAGGAAGTCAGGGCGAGTTTAGTCCAACGACGGAGGGACATGAGGGCCAAAAATAGCGGAGATCTAGGTGGAAAAAGGGTCCCAGCGATCTCGTGCACGTCGCTCTTCTAGCGGGTCAAACTTCACGAGTTGTTTTCTGCAATTTCAGTCACAAAAACAAAACAAGCCGGCCTCCTGTCTGCGGCACTGTTTGCGGTCAGCTACAATTTGGGAGAGGTGCAGCGGAGCATCTGTGGAGGGGGCGGGGACGTCTGGAGCCGAGGTATTGAATTGCACCCATTGCACTGATTTTGTGCAGTATCTTTTGATGCAACGCCTTTCAGAATCTATAATGCAGGGGCATTATTATTTTTCAGTAAATGAGGTTTTAATAGGAATAGGTGGAGTGCAACTTTTCTATTTCTGTTATTTGCTGTTGTTTCTCAACAATAATTAATTAACGCCTTATGGCAGATGCTTACCCCTTCAGGGGTTTGCACTCTGCTAGTGGGGGAAGGGGAGGAAGGGGGAGTCGGAATCATCCGGGTGGCTGCGGGCATATTCCTCTCCTTGGGGCCCAGCCCGCAGCTTCCGGGGACTCTGGCATTGCGGTGGCTGGGGGACTTTCTCGGGGCTGTCTCTCCTTCTCCCTTGGTGGGGGTCGATTTCCTGGGTTGGCCCCTCGTGCCTTCGCTCTTGGGATCCCTTTGAGCATCTGGGGCTTCGGGTCTCCCGGCGCTGGACTCAGTGCTCCAAGGGGGCGTCTCTTCGGCTCTCCACAACCACTATTGCGCATTTTTCCTTTGGATAAACTTTACATGCTCAAGTGCACTTTCACAAACAACAGGTGCTTGGTTCCAGGTACTTAGAGATTCACTTCCATACAAAAAGCCCATATTCTTATCTTCAGGTAACACAGAATACATGTCAGTTTAAATTTTACTACTTATACTTCAGCTATTGTATCTAGGTGTTACTTTAATGTATGTCTCATACCATGTCCGTTGGTTGTGCTGTTCTTTTTACATCTCTTTGCAGGTGATGAAGCGGACTGAAATGTTTTATCATTATCTCCCTTTTATCTCCTCTTTCTTACATCTTTTCTCCTTTTTTTTCCCTTTCCTGTTCTACTTACACTGCAGTGTCCATATAATCTGTAAAACTCCCTACAAAATAACAAGCAATTTATATGCATGAAACAAGCGGAACACTATGGCAATAGCCGTACTCCTCCACTCGTGAAAGTAAAATCTGTTGCTCTCTTTTTGACATCGAGACAATTATTCTATTTGACATTGTCCTGTCTGGCAAAAACAAAAAAAAGTAGGCAGTAAAGGAGCCTCTCCATGTGCAGGAGTAGTTTATTCCTAAATGAGAAGCAGCAATAGAGGCTTTGCTCCCTCTGATCGTCCTCTTAGACCTTGGTTCCTGCAGGAGCTGCTGTTCAGCTGACCTGAGGGGCTGAGAAGGATGGTAGGAATGAAGAGCTCAGAGAGGTACTGCAGGAAAAAGTCATTTAAACATTTTAAAATAAAAATAAAAATTTTAGAATGAACTCTAATATACAGTGGACAGGTCATGGGGTAATGTGTTCTGTTTTTGGAGAACCAGTAAAAAGACTAACAGCAGGTTTTTTAACCAGCTGCAGATGAGAGAGCAAAGATTGACTCATTCAAACAATTAGTTCATAGGAGAAATCTAAGCAGGATAAGATAAAAGCATCAATTACTGTTTCAAAGATTTGCCTTGATAGAAACGAAATTTCCAAATTACCCCAAATCAACTTTTTTTATGCAAATAAACTGCATTGATAGCTGTCTTATAGTGCTGTCTACATGTCTTGAGTATCATGTGTCCAATTTACTTCACATTTCTTGCAAACCTGCTTTTGTGTCTAAAACTGTTAGTTGTGACCTCTCCCAGAGAAACAGCAGCTCCACCCTGGGCAGCTACTCTCTGCTGACTTACTCCTCCTACACGGTAGTTCACTTAGGAATCGTCGACAAATTAAAGAACCAAAGAACTAAATACTCAAAACAATATTAATAATTTTGAAAACTTTCAATTTTTTAAAAATAATTTTCTCTTATTTGAAAATTAAATTACATCCTATTTTTTCCTTCAAAATGTTTGAAGAAAATGTATTAAACCCAGATAAAAAAAACAATTCTGAATTTTCCTGGCAGTCTACTGTAATTTGACATCAGTTCTGTGTCAGTCGGTCATTTGATCTAAACTGATATAGTTTGTAGCACATCCCTTGAAGAAAAAAGGTTCTGGGTTCAATTCCTGTCCTAGGGTCTTTCTGCATGTTGCAATTTAGGTTTATTCAACAAATCAACATTATGTGAAACAATTCGTAAAGTTAGCTTGAAATAAAAAAAAAAAAAACATAATACAGACAATAAAACTTATATACAATAAAACAATAGTGTAAGAGCAGCTAAAACAATAAGAAGATTAGAACATTAAACTTTTATTAAAACCCACCTGCTCAATTGACCAAAAGCTATTAAAAAATATGTAATCGTTTTAGGATTGTTCATCTTTACCCTGAGTCCTGGTTGTTTCTTGTCATATGTTTACTTTATATATTGTGAAGCCACTAAAAGTTGTGTTTTGAAAAACTGAGTAAAAAAACAACATTGTAATTAATTTTTTTAGGAATAAAAACCCCTATAAAATGATCAGTAATGAAAATCTAAGTCTAAAATGTTGAATCAATCAGCCCTTATGTCTCCCACCTCTCCTAAACATGAAGGTAATGAACTTTGCATTAATCAAACGAAGGACTAGAATAAAGAAAATAAACTATGATAGAAAATGACTGTCTCTGACCATCTGTGTCTCCATCAGATAAACCTCAGCCTGTCCTCTCTGTGTCTCCATCATGGCTGAGTCCTGGAGCCTCAGTGACTCTGAGCTGTGGGGGGTTGGAGCATCCATCTGCAGGATGGAGGTTCTTCTGGTATAAAGTGGTTCCAGCAAAATCCAGCAGCTCCTACAGCTTTGAGCTGCTGACTGGCAGAACCAGCTGGACTGAACAGAACTCCTACCTCATTAATGGACAGAATCACACAGCAGGATATGTGTGCAGAGCAAGAAGAGGAGAACCAGTGTTTTACACTAAATACAGTGAAGCAAAGTTTGTCTGGTCTGCAGGTCAGTTTATCTCTGTTCTTTTAAGGAAACTTGTGTTTTAAATGTTAATTATTTTTCAGCAATTTGCATTGCATCTATAATGCTGCCCATTCCATTTACAATCAGTTCAGGTTTGGCAGAGTTTATCTTCTTCAGGGTTTATCAGCTTCCTCTCATCTACCTGCAGTCCATCAGTTTAAGTCTAAGTGTAGAAAACCCTTCTACATTTAAGTTAAGGAAGGCTGATTGAAGTGGCACCATGGATGGGAGATTCCAGTTAGAGAATCAGGAGACTGGAGAGCCGCCCCCAATTCTCTAACGTGAGAATTGTATCGAACATAGAAAGACTGCTATATGAACTAAGAGTCATTAGTGAACCGAGGAAGCTGGACCAGTCAAACGACAGGCCTCGTGTAGATTTTGTCCTTTACCTTCACTGTGGCAATACGTACACGTCCATCAGTGCCCTTGAAGGTCTCAACCCCCAAACCCACAGGCCAAAGAGCCCGCGGGAGGCATGGATCAACAAAAAGAACAACCTGACCTGTAGTAGGTTCCTTGCCATCGCTCTTCCACTTCTGACGTTGCTGCAGTCCCGGGAGGTAGTGTCTGATGAAGGAAGCCCAGAAGCTGTCTGCCAACACCTGGCTGTGTCTCCATCGTCGCTTCCCAAGCAAATCCTCTCCGCCATATAAAGCCTGGGGAAGAGATGAATCCCTGAGTCCCATAAGTAGCATGTTGGGTGTTATGGGATCAGGATCCGAGACATCTGTTGACACATAGCCCAATGGCTTGGAATTAAGAATTCCTTGCACCTCGATCAGTAGAGTCCGCAGAACTGGCTCAGTGACTGACTGCTCTCGTAGGACTACTCTTAGAGCTGTTTTTACCGACTTGACTTCCCTTTCCCAGGTGCCTCCAAAATGTGGAGCGGAAGGTGGGTTGAACTGGAATCTGATCCTCTGCTCTGCTAATGGCTCCTGCAGGCAAGGAGCCATAGCTTTAAAGGCCTCTACTAATTCTCGTTTTCCTCCTGTAAAGTTTGTTCCATTATCACAGAGAAGCTCAAATGGTTTACCCCTGTGTGCTATTAGGCGGCGCAAGGAGAGCAGGAAGGAATATGTGTCCAGGCTTTCGAGGAGATCTAAATGCACACATCTGGTGGTCATGCACTTATAAAGGATGCCCCATCTCTTCTCTTGACTCTGTCTGACCTTGACTGAGAATGGACCAAAGCAGTCTACTCCAGTGGCGTAAAACGGGGGCTTGTAGGCACGCAGTCTCGAAGGAGGAAGGTCAGCCATTTGTGGAGCTTGTGGCTTGGCTCGCCAAAGCTGGCACTCAGGACATTTGTGCTGATGTTTACGGATAGCCTTACGACCCCAAAGAATCCAATAATGCTTGCGAAGTTCAGCCAGAACTCGCTCTGCACCAGGTCCTGTGTCTGAGTCCTGTGGCCTCTTCATACTCAGGTGCCAGGGAACATAGGCGACTGTCAGATGGAATGGAGTGATTATTTTTAAGTGCCTTTACCTCTCGTGGGAAAGAGTCAAGCTGAGCCTGAGCTAAGAGAGCTCTTTCAGCAACCACATAGTCTGAAGCATCAGGCTTCGGGTTTGAATTAGGGGCAGCCGCCCCATGACGGGACTGTAGTGCAGTCTTGATGAGCTCCTTCCAGGTGTGGAATTGCTTTGGGTCTGGTATTGCTGTGTTCAATACTACTGAAGTTGAGCCAACAAAGGCACCCCTCTTTAACTCATTCTGATGAGGCTCTGTCCGTAAGTTGGCATGACTAGCCAATGGTCAGAAGTTTTAATCAGGAAATCCGGTCCAGACCTCCACTGGCTTGGATGGACTAATGCAGTGAGGGTCAGACCTCTAGTGATGTGATCGGCTGGGTTATGATGTAAGTCAACATACCTCCAGGTAGCCCCTTCAGTGAAATTTTGGATTTCAGCCACACCTGTCCCAACAAAGACCTTGTAGCGACAGGACTCTGAGTTCAGCCAATGCAGCACTGTGGTAGAATCTGACCAGCAAACAACTTCACTAACTGTGAGGGTCAGTTCGTCCTGTATAAGTTTGACCAGCTGAGCTCCAGTTAATGCAGCACTCAGTTCTAGACGAGGCATAGAGAGGCATTTCTTTGGTGCTACACGGGACCTGGCTAGGATGAAAGTCACATGGACTTCCCCACCATGTGTTATGGTCCGCAGATAGGCGACTGATCCATATGCTCTCTCTGAAGCATCACAGAAAACATGAAGCTCCCTGGTTGCTACAGTGCTGTCCGCACTGGCTGGCACAAAGGGTCTGGGAAACTGCACCTGCTGAAGGATGGGGAGCTCTGCCTCCCACATGGCCCACTGATCTCGTATATGCTTAGGGCCGATAGGCTCGTCCCATGCCACATTTTGTTTCCATAGATCCTGTATAAGGACTTTAGCTCTGGTCGTAAATGGCACAATGAAACCTAGTGGGTCATACTGGCTGGCCAGGATCCTATAAAGGTTCCTCAAGGTTGGAATCTGATTATATGTAGTGCGGTGCTTGTAACCCAGCATTTCAGTACGGCAGTTCCACTGCATACCAAGAGTGGGTTCCTGGAGGTCACTACTGTTTTGTGACAACCAAAGCTCACTGCAGGTAGACCTGGCACCCTTTGGGAGGTGTTCTATGACTGATGGTAAATTGCTTGCCCATTGTTTGATATCGAACCATCCTTCTGCAAGCAATTGTCTCAAGCTGTCAATCACATCCTTAGCCTTTGCGGGATCTGGTGTGCTGTAGAGACAATTATCTACATAAAATGCCTGTGACACAATTGCTGCCAAGTCAGGATTATCCTCTGCATGTTCTTGGGCATGGTGCTGGAGAGCATAGATTGCACAACATGGACTGCATGTTGTTCCAAAAGGTAGAACCTGCCATTCATATATGGTAGGCTCCTGCTCTCTTTGCATGTTTCTCCAGATGAAACAAAGAACAGGTCGATCACCTGGAAGCAGGCGCACCTGGTGAAACATGCTTCGAATGTCACCACTGATGGCAACAGCGTGCTGACGGAATCGCAGAAGAACGCCTATCAAAGAAGGGCCAAGTGTTGGGCCTGGTAATAGCTGCTCATTAAGGGACATACCCTGATACTGGAAAGAGCAGTTAAAGACAATTCTGTCCTTACCATTATGGTGCACCATATGGTGTGGGATGTACCATGCTTCTTTGGTTTGATTGGCTTCTTCAGATGAGATCTTTGCCACATAACCTTCTGACTGTAGCTTGTGCATTTCAGAGCAGTAGGTCTCTGCCAGTTTAGGGTTGCGATCCAATCTGCACTCTATCCTTCGAAGGCTGGGCAGTACCGCTTCCTTGGGTGCCTGAAGGGTTATGGTTGAAGAACGACGGAGCAGTGGGGTTGCATAGCGCTGGACTCCATCTATCTCAATCCCCCTTTGTAGCTGTCTGCAATAAGGTGATAGCCTTCTGGTCTAGCTTTGATCTAGTTACTGTCTTTTGGCAGTATGGCAAAGTGTCAATCTGCCATAGCCTTTGCACATTCTGGAGGAGCTCTGCCTGGGACGTAGCTGAAGTGAGATGTAGACACTGCTGTCCTCCACGTGCAGTCTGCATGGGTGTTATTGGGCCTTGTAGTGATTACCCAAGTCTGGTACACACTGCAACTGGTCCTCCTGTAGGTCCCTGATGGATGGGCTGAATAGGAGTAATTAAGTGTGGCATATCAGATCCAATGAGGAGTAATGGTTGCACTCCTTCAACCAGCTCCAATGGTAAACCCTTCAGATGTTTTTACATTTTCTGAAGGGCTACTACTGGGTAGTTGTGCTCAGCCAGACTCAGTCTACCTGCAGAGAAATCATCAGAGATTGGATATCTTTCAGAAGGCTTGGAGAAGGGGGACACTTCAAAGGAGACGGTCAGTCCCTCCAGCTGATGGACATCCTGAGGAACCGTCTGCAATGGCAGTGTCTCATGTTGCCCTGCAATCTTAAGGTATTTAATGACAGGTGAGAGAACAATTGTTCGTTCTGATCCATCGTCTAGGACTGCATAAGCCTCCATAGATCGGTCCCCATTACGAATCAGAATCTTCACCACCTTTAGCATAACACGCTGTGAGCGGTTAAGGCGGTCGATGTAAACCTTAGTGGGTGCTGAGCTCACCATCAGGACTGTACTGGATGAGTCATTTACTGCATCGTGAAGAACTGTAAGGTGAGGCTCCCTGCAGGCTTTGCATGGATGTTTAAGGTTGCAGTCCTCCACTCTGTGGTTGCGACCACATTTCTGGCATCTGTCTCCCTCTTTTATCAAAGTGATGATCTGATGGGTGCTAAGCCTTTTGAAGCTTTCACAAGAGTTTAGAAAATGTTCTTTGTTATCACAATAGGGGCAATATGGCTTCGGTTTTGGGTTTCGCTTTAAGAACCCCGACTCAGCCTTCAACATTTCGCTTCTTACTGTGTGGAGAATAGGTATTGACCTTTCCTTTGAGTAAAGGGGTTTATGCTCCCTCCGGGTCGGTTTTGGCGGCTCAGTCTGGAAGAAATGCGTTTCGCCTGTGACTTAACTTGTAACCAGACGGCCAAGTCAGGGAGCGTGTAGGTTCTGTCTGTACCCGATTGTAGTATACCCCGGCTGAGACAATACTCTACAAAACTGTCTCTGTAGGAGGCTGGCATTTTGCTTAGCAGCCGGTCAACATGGGACACACACATAAGTTCATAGACATTTTGTCCCTCAAGAGTTTGTAGCATGCCAACTAAAGACTGAACTGAGAGAGCGAATTGGTCAAAGGCCTGAGCTTCACCCATTCACCCATTATTCAGCAAATTGTCTAGTGCCATTTTGAGTAGGGCAAAATCACTCTCACAACCACTGTCAAACACTGGCAGTGTGGGCCATGGAATCCCATAAGCAGATGCAATGAGCAGGTCAGTTCCGGATTGTGATGCTAAACCAGGGAGGAGAACTGCTGCTGGGATTGTCTGGCTGTTACTGGGAATGGCCGTTGCCGTCCTAGGGTCTGACTGTGTAGTTAGTGAAGGCAGTGAATGTGTGAAGTAAGTGAGCTGTGGTTCTGACTGTAGCCCTCTGGTCACTGAGTTGGAGACTGGATGTGATGGCATGAAGTTAGACTTCTGATCTTGATTCATAGTCTGAGTGACAGGACTAGTTGCTGACGCACAAGCACAAGACGGCAGAGGCTGGTCAGGGTTGCGAGACATGAGGGGAATGCTAGCAGGCTGAGTGCTGGGGCGTCTGACCATATGTGCTCCTGAAGGTGGTGAAACAGACTCCCCTGGATGCGGTGGCTGGTCAGCAGAGTTGGTTGCTATTAGCTGAGCTGATGGTTGATGGAAACTCACTTGTGGAGAAGCAGGTTCAGGGCGAACTATGTTTTCGTCGGAAACAACCATGCACGTAACCAATCTCGCCAGCTCTAGGTCAGACTCTGCCTGCTTCACGCATCGGTTCCTGTCTAGCCTTTTAATTAAAGCCTCTTTTGCTCGGAGGGCCTCCTCTTGAGCGTGCTGTGCTGCTCTCATCCTAGCCTGTATCTGTTGATCTTCTACATCAGCCTGTAAGTCCTCTTCAATTTCATGACGGAGGCAATCAAGCTGGCGCCGCTTAATGTTTTCCTCCAGAAATGCAGCTTGAGCAGGTGAGAGATCTGACTGTGGGTAAAACCCGGTGGAGAAGATGGTGTGTCTTCCAGACCGAGAGGTAGAGCTGGTTATGGTGCTAATTGTTTTTTCTTGTGCTGCTCCTGTGCTTGCTTCTTACAGTGTGAGAAGGTGTTGCAGGATGAGCATGAGGGGCATGGTAACCAACTACATAGTCCTCTAGGTGAGATGGGAGATGGCTTTCTCTATGGGGTCTGCCTTTGGATTGTCCTGCTTCTGAAGCTGCATCATCCATGGTGTTATATTGTTACTTCAATCCGGCTTGAAGGACCAATTTTAATGTAGAAAACCCTTCTACATTTAAGTTAAGGAAGGCTGATTGAAGTGGCACCATGGATGGGAGATTCTGGTTAGAGAATCAGGAGACTGGAGATAATGATCGGCAGCTTTAATATAGCTCCAAAGACAGAACATGGTCCTTAACAGGCTCAGATGCATAATTACATGTGAGACACATGTTACATGCTGGGCTCATGGAGGATATGAGTATGGTCTGTAAAAAGAAACAAACATAAAAGTGCTTATGAGCCAAATTAGGATTTCACTAAACATTTCAGCAAACAGCTACAGAAATAAACAAACAATTAACCAAAATCCCAGCAAGCCTCATACAAACATTGCTGCATCAGTAGCAATAACACAAGCCATGCAGCTTCAAATACAGCAACTCTAGGCGGCAGCAGTATTAAATTAACTACTATTAGCAACAAATGCTAACCGGCGCTAGCAATCACAGTAGCTTACCAGAACAGCATGAAACACAGAAATATGGTGCAAATTACTGATTCACACTACAATTATATTAATGCAGAACATGTAAAGAGTAAAGTAATATCTAAAAGGCACTTACTTTATTTATTACGCACACAAATATCCACCATGAAGAAATAAAGATTCGGCGCGCGTCACACTGATAGCGGACTGGGCGGAAACAAGAAACTAAATTAGGTTCTCCCTAAGTCTTTCTAACACTAATTGTATGTCTACATTCAGGATCTGCATTGTTTGAAGTAGTGTTAATTTAGTTAACGAAAACTAAACGAAAATATTTTCGTCAACGCACATTTTTCACCGAACGAAAAGTAGACGAGACGAGACGAAAATCCCCACTAATAAACAATAAGTGGGAGTAAATCAGAAATAATTTTCGTGGACTAATAAAGACGAGACGAAAATGCAGTTCGCTAAATAAAGACTGGACTAAAATCTATGAACATTTTAGTTCACGAACAAAGACGAGACGAAAATTACATATTATTATTATTATTTTTTTTTTTTCAAATCCTGTCTACTCCTCCGCCTCCTCCTCGTCAGCTCCACACACCCACTTTCAAACCTGGAGCGGGCGGCACAGGGTAGCCTACTCTGGGGCTCGGGAGAAAGAGGAGACGTGATATATGGACACATTTTCACTTCATTGAAGTGGAGAACAAAACCAAATGCTTGATTTTAGTGGAAGGAAGGAATGTGGCCACATGGTAGCTGGAAAAAACACAGCAAACCTGAAGAGACACGTCGCAGTTCAACACAAAGACATTAAGGTAAGTTAACAGAAAGATTGGTGGTGGCTGTTTATAATGTAACATTAAATAAACGGCTATAATGTCCCAATGATAAACTAACTAATGTTGGCTAACTTTCATAGCATTTAGTATCCAGGCTGGCTACGTTACGTTAGCTTGTTAGCACGTAGCGACCGTTGCTACGTGTTGATAGAACTTAGATGTGTTATACTGGCCGGGCAACTATAGTTTCAGTTAAATTGCAAGTTTGATTAAAGCAGACAGATGTTTTAGGTAATCTAGGAGCTGCAAGTGAACTATAGTTAATACAAAACACCTCGGCAGCTACACATGTATGCTAAATGCTAAAACCAACTGAAACTATTTATCAGGATAAGATAAAATAAAAATAATATGCCACACATAATTCAGAACAACTTTAACCTAGATTTTCATACACAAAATAGCCATTGATAGGGGAACCACTGCAGGGATGCAAACATCAATATTAATCAATATTAATACAACCAAAATGCATGCACACATAAAAATGTCTGCAATTTCCTGCATAAAATGATAGTTAGGTTGTTTGTATGAGTTTGAAATGGATTGTCAAATGTAGTTTTTACAGAGACTTCGTTTTTTTAAAGGAAAAAAACAGACCTATATGCTACTTATACACTTGGAATTCCTGTTATGCTGTTTATCTATCCTGACATTGTATTAATTTCTGTTCCAGATTGAAGATACACCACCACCAACAACCTACCAGCCACCCAGAAACAATGACGGGCCAGCTATAGCTGGCAGGAAAGCACTTTTGTTGTATCAGTTGGAGTTTTTTTTTTTTTTTTTTTTCCACAACATTGACCTTAAATCTATTTATTTTATTATTCTATGTGAACTAGCTTTAAACAGCCGGCACTTGTGTAAAGTTCATAAGACACTTAATTTTATTAGTTTCCTTTGTCAGGTGTATTTTATTTGTTTTAATGCAAGCATTTGTGTTTGTGTCTTTGAACCTTAACAATGTTCAAAATAAATATGCAAATATTGTCAGAACATCTTCCATGTCTGCATGTGTTCCTTAAAATTGTGGGGGGGGTTTTATCAAAAAGATGAGAGACAATGTTGAAATGTGAAATAATTTTAGGAAATGTTAAATATTATCTGCTGACAAAAAAGTAAAAGGTTAAAATTATGTCCTGACTAAAACTAAACTAATAAAATTATGTTTTCTTGAACTAAAATAAAGACTAAAATGTTCTGACTTATAGTCGACTAAAACTAGACTAAATAAAAATGCGATGATGTCGACTAAATGTGATAAAAACTAACAAACAATGCTGAAACTGGACTAAAACTAAAACTAAATTTAAAAATGGCTGCTAAAATTAACACTAGTTTGAACACTGCAAAAACAATCCAGAAATAAGTAAAAAATGGCTTAAATTAAGTATATTTAGCCTTAATTTGAGCAGGTAAATAAGATGATTTGCCAATGGAATGAGTATTTTCACTCTTAAAATAAGATAGTTAGATAATATTTACTTGAAATAAGACGATAAAATATTTTTTTCTTATTTTAAAAGGAAATTGTCTTGTTCCATTGGCAAAGTGTCTTACTTATCTCCTCAAATCAAGGAAAAACACACTTATTTTAAGAAAAAATAACTTATTGAGATTTATATTTTTTGCAGTGAAGGCAGCCGTTCTAGGCTGATTCTGTTCTTTTACCAAAGATTTCTTTGAGTCATAACTTATCCCATGATTCCTTGCAAATTAAAGTGGATTAGTCAGCCGGGGGCAGAAATAGTAGACGACCAAGGTGGACAACAGTGGCAGAAATTGTGAAAACCCAAAAAAATGCTTTCCATTTACCAAGAAAATCTTTTTTCAGACTTTTTTTGGAGAGAATGTAGCTTTGTAATCCTCAAATATCTTACAATATACTCACTAGCTGTTAGTGCAGCAAACTCGGAAATCTTAACTGAGAAGTGCCTTTGCAAATTCTCAGTCATCTGGGTCTTTTTAGATTTTAGCCCCTCTGCTTGAAGGGAGGCTGTCACATACTATGGCTCTACAAATTTATACACCAGTATCTTTGGTTGTTTACAAAGACGTTTGGAATACAGTATGGTGCCTTGTTGGCTTATTTTATTTTATCTCTGCTTTTCCTCTTTGTTTTTGGCCCATTTGTGTTAAACTTTAGTCCTTTGAATATTTACTGTAACAGGATCATGTTATCAGACATACAGTAATTTGCATGTGTGCAATGAGTAAACCAGAGAGTAATGGAACAAAGCAATCATAGATGTGAAAAGAAAGAGAGAAAATCCAGATCAAGTGTGAAAAGCACAACAAAATTGTTGATGCCAAACAAAAAATGTTTGATGCCAAGAGGGAAACAGCTGAGTAGCGCTTAGAATAAATATGAACTTTGGTTTTCACTGAGGCAGGAGCTGAAGCTGCCAGAGTTTGTTAGATGATGTTGAGGCTGCACAGCAGAGTTTATGTTTATTGATTGCAATTAGTAAGAAAATCTGTTCATGCTCAAAATGAACAAAGTAAACACTTTAAGGATGAATGCTTGGCATCTATTGCTTTGTTTTAACATGAATATCTGAGGTTTAGGGTCTTTACTATAGAAGGTGATTAGGTCCCTTATGATGTTTATCTTTCTGTAAATCACATCTTTTTTACAATCCATTTAAATTAGAGCACATTTTTTAACATAACTGATAAAAAGTCGTAATGCCAATATTTTATCATCATTATATTTTTATGTTGTTTTTCAGACTCTCATCCAGCTGCGTCTCTTTCAGTGACTCCAGACAGAGTTCAACATTTTATCTATCAGTCTGTCACTCTGAGCTGTAGTGGGAACAACACTGAGTGGAGACTGAGGAGGTTTACACAAACAGGTGGACTATCAGACATTCACTGCTCCAACTGGGGGACAATGACTGGATCCTCATGTACTATAAACACAGTCTGGTCTCACAGTGGAGTGTACTGGTGTGAGTCTGGATCAGGAGATTTTAGCAACGCAGTCAACATCACTGTACAGGGTAGGTTATGATTTATGATATTTCCTTTAACATTTTCCTGTGTTTTCACATTAATATCCAGAGCCTGATATGTTGTATTTGCTCTCCAAGAAAACTTAGAAGTAAATAAAAAAGGAGGTAAAATATTTTCTTCCTTCAAAATCCTTCAGCTCAGCTTCCTTCTTTCAACTTCCTGTTTTTCCAACATTTGGCTTCATGTGTTTAAGTAAATCTTTGCTCCAAGGTAGTTTTGTAGCAAAAACAAAAGATTAATCCTCCACCTGTAGAACAGATAACATGATACATTTATTTTTATAATAGATCAATAGAGGAGAGTTGTTGCTACTTCATCAGAGCAAGATAACAATTCACAGTGAATGAAAAATCATCTTTCATAATCCTCTTTCTAGATTAAAGTTTCCTTTAAGTTTAGATTTATCGAATATGTTTCATATTTTTCATCACAAATCACTGAGCTGCAACTAAAGCTTCCATTATTTGTTCAAAGTTTATGATTTACTGATACATACCTGATAGTGAAATTTTTTTTTTTTTTTTTTTTTTTTTTATAGAAGATGTTTTTAGGATTTGATTCAGGTGAAACTAAAACTGACACCTAAAGGGTTCTTTTTAGAGAATATTTACAGACAACGAAGAATTTTCATCCCAAATTATCATATATTTTGTACTGTTTTTGGCCTATTTCCATCTCAGAGTGAGTTTTTCTTTCTCGTATTGACATGTTTAAGTCACCGTCTACTCCAGTTACTAATTATTTGATTGTTGGTTAGCTGATGATTAATTAAATAATCAGTTATATAATTAATCCTAGACGGTTTTAGCACTAACAATTTCTCTAGTGTTTTTTAGAAGATGTTTAAGAATGCAGATGTCAATTTTGTTTCAGTGGATGTAAATGATAATAACACATATTTTGTGGATAAACCTTTATTGGTTTAATATTTTCTTAGTATGAGATAAATGAGAGCAGAATAACTTTAACAAAGAGCTTCGGCCTCAACCCTGAAGACCAGGATCAGAAATAATGTTTTAATGTAATTCTGGGGGAAACTTAAAATGGCTCACTAGAAATGTGCTGTGATTTTGTTTCACATTAGGAACTTAGATAGAGCAGAAAACAGCTTTAGATCCCGATGTCACACAAATCTTATAGTTCTCAAGGAGAATTTTAATAAAATTAGATACAAAAAATGATAAGATGAAACCCTCCTTTCTAATCTTAACATGAGAAATAAGTGAATTATAACCCCCACATGTTTACCTCCAAATATGAAATCATTACCTGAAACATAAAGAGAATCATCCCAAATCTCAAGATCATAAACGATTCATTGCAATGTTTGATTATAGGGAGCATTTTTGTAATTAGCATAAATTCAGAACAATTAATGATTTCTGTGAATATGAGATTCTTGTGTTCTTACTAAAAGGTGGTCTGTCCATTACCTTGGTTTAACTTCTAGTGATAAAAAGCTAATTTTCAAATATACTAGATAATAATAAACCAGTTTTTTTTTTTTTTTATTAACACCAGCTGATTGCTGACCAAAACCTTATTATCTTAACTGTTTTGCAGATAAATATTATAGTATCATCCTGGTGAGCCCCGTCCATCCTGTGACTGAGGGAGATCCTGTTACTCTGAGCTGCAGAGATAAAGAACAAAGACTTCTCTCCAATGTGTTTTTCTATCACAATAACAAACTGATCCACAATGACAGCAGAGAGGAAATGAAGATCTCTGCAGTGTCAAAGTCAGATGAAGGTTTCTACAAGTGTGAACATTCAGGAAACGAGTCACCACAGAGCTGGATGGCTGTTAGAGGTGAGAGGATGAAAATGCAGATTATTCACTTAAGCTTTGTTTTCAAAGGTTTACATCCCCTGATTTTTTTGTAACTGTATTTATCTAATATTTGATGACAAAAAAAGCAGGCAAGAGAGGGCCATGATAAAAGAAACAAAAAATCTATGATAAAAATGTATTCCTGTAAATACTGATGCACTAAAATATGGCAGGAATAATATTGTGTTTAGGAATGAATCGCTGTCAGGGTGGTTGTTTTAAATAGGCACTGTTACAGTGTATACTAATTTATTGTCAGTGTCAAATGTGCTTTCGTATCTTTAATTTTTCTTTGTTACAGTGTCTCTGTCCAGTCCTGTTGACTCTTCATTTGTTGTGCTGATGATTGTTGGACCGTTTATTGGAATAATTCTCATTTTCCTGCTGCTGCTGTTGTGGTGCTACAAACGGTCCAAAGGTGAGACGCTTCTTCTTTTCATACTGTGGCGGACAATGTAGTGACTTAAATACTTAAACAACTAAATAATTTAAATCTATTTCACTGCTTTGACAAAACTGAGAAAGGAAACAATTTGTATCACAATGCAACTAATTCCCCTTTTTGTCCACAGATTTCTGCTGCATCAGGTCGGTACATCAGTGTTCACTTTCCTTTGATCTTAACATTCATCATCATCTATACTTTAAATTTAAGTTTAACTTTTAACATAATTTAGGTCAGAAAGCAGCAGTCAGAGCCCCACCATCAATCATGGAGTCAACCAAACAGACAGTCAAGTTTACAGCTCTCTGCTGCACGGTTAGTAGCTTTGTATTTGATTTAGATTTTAAATAACTTCCCCAAATCTTTGATTTGATAAATATTTATCAAAACACCCATATTTTAGTGTGTTCCGTGAATGAAGGAAAATAAGTTAAACCTGGTTTACACCTAAATTTAACTAAATTGAAATCTAAATGTTTGAGTTGAAATTATATAACACGTTTCCTTTACTCTGACTTTGACCTATTTTTGTTTTGCAGGTGATGTTGAGTATGAGTCATTTCACCGGGCCACAATCAAAGGTAAACTATATTTCTTGAAGAAGTCAGAGATGCAACAACTGGCTGATTTAAGTTGACAGATTTTAATGCTTTGAAATATTATTTCTTTATTATTCTTTTCTTTAAAAATTTCAAAGTTCTTACTTAATGAGCTTCAACATGAAAATAAAAGTTTCTCTAACACATTAAAAGCATGAATGTATATTTTTAGATCTGAATACTTCTGCCGAGTTCCTATCAAATACCTTACAAGAAAGTTGAATTGTCATGAGATATGTGAATTCACACACTCATTAAAATACATCTTGCCAGGAGCAAACACGCCTTTGGTCTTAATTCAGAATGTTTCTGACCAATGAAATGCAGTGATATGCATGACATCAAACATGTCAATCGGAGGCAGAAGGTTGAAGCAAAACAAACAGTTGTATCAGTTTTAGCTGGAATACCCCACTGATCTCTTTATTCACTGAATAGCCGATTGGCCATTGGTGGTACACGTTGCTGTGAAGTCACCAGCCACCATATTGGTACTTCATAGCTAGACAATGTGGAGTAAAAATGAGCACTGCCCCACCTTTGCATTATAAAGACTCCTTACACATGAACATTGAGTCTTTCCAAGAGAAACAGTTCATCAAAAGACATAAATATATGTTCAGATAAACATTTCAGACAACTGTTTTCCGTTCACACCAGAGACAGGACATGAGGATCTTAAACACAATAAGGACCTGTTTATCTATGTTTCCCCCCTATCTAACCTAGGGAGGATACTCCTTTTAAAACCTCCCTCCTTTCCCTACATCTCAGCACAAAGAATGGAACAAAGCCTCTAAACAATCACCATTATTCAGCAAGAAAAACCGGCACACTTTAATATTTAACCTTACTAAGATTCAAGGAAAAACCACAGATCACAACCACTGATCTCTGTTTATTCATAGACACCAGTTAGTTTGGCCAGACGGAATGTTAACAGTACATGCACTACAGCATTGAACAATGATGATTTTCTTATTTTCAGGGGGGCTTTAAACTTTAAGAATAAAGATAAATTCATCACATTTACACACCCTTGCTGTTTCATCGCATCAGTAGATCACTGTAATTTATGTAAAAAAAAAATAGGCTCATCACATTGCATAGTCAGTATAAAGTCTATTATGTATATAAATCATCATACAAATCCATCACAACACTCACACACACTATCTGATTATGTGGCAATAGTGATAAATTGATTATTAATGTAATATACATGTATTATATATTGTGTATCCATCCATCCATCCATCCATCCATCCATCCATCCATCCATCCATCCATCCATCCATCCATCCATCCATCCATCCATCCATCCATCCATCCATCTTTGTCGATGTGAAAATTGTTGCGTGTTCCCCTGACCAGATTTCCTAAGAGTTTGATTATTCAGCTAACTCCGCCAGCTGTAAAACAAAACTTGACATGGGAGTCAGGGGCCCAATCTTCTCTTAGAATTGTACTCATTCTCCCTCCCTTTTGCCAACACTTATTTTTGTGGGAGCCCTTCCACATCTACACATATAGTTCAATTTAAATACTACACGGTATAATTCCAGCTTATGCCAGGATAATAAAATAGTCCTTTAATAACAATATTTGTTTGCTTGTGAAAAGCAGAATCAGCAGCTATGACAAAAGATGTTTTAACATTTTCACCTTTAGATATTCTTTTCTTTGTTAATTTTTGTATCATTAACAGGGAGCCCTGATGACCCAGATGAAGATCCTGTTTACACTAATATTGAAGCAAAAACCACAGGTGGGTGCATTCAGCTCCAACAGCAGTATTACTTAAAAAAAAAGAAAAGGTAATTTGTGATGTTACTAGTTAGTTCTTAACAAAGTAACTAAGTTAGTAACCTAGTTACTGCATAATCACAGTAACAATTTACTAGTAAAAGTACTTATGCATCATACTTTTTATGATAAAAAATGTTGAAGACCTTGAAAAGGTTTCCTGTTAACTAAGCTCTAAATACAACACAATACAAATTTAGTGATGAAATATAGGATGTTTGATAATAAAAAAGCACTCTCACCTAAGGCTTGAATAATCTGGCACTGATGACTGATAAAAGGCTGGAATACCCCACTGATCTCTTTATTCACTGAATAGCCGATTCGCCGTTGGTGGTACCCGTTGCTGTGAAGTCACCAGCCACCATGTTGGTCCTCCCTAGCTAGACCATGTGGAGTAAAAATGAGCACTGAGAGTAAGGAAGGAAAGGTTTTATTTCTCTCTGCAGAGGAGAACGACACAAAACAGCTAAAGACAGCTCCCTGCGTGATTCTGACTAGGTCCTGCCCCACCTTTGCATTATAAAGACTCCTTACACACGAACATTGTGTCATGATTGGTTACAGAGTAAACCCAATATGCAGAACACACACGGAGGCTGATGAAAAGTTTAACAAGGTTTATTGTTAACACAAGCACAAGAATATTGCACAGGAACTGGTTCGGGCATGGGGGCAGGTTCACTGGAGTCTGCAGGGATGACAGTTCAGTTAGCACATGGACTGATGAGTTATGAGTCTTTGAGTTTGCTGATGAATACCTTGAAGGAGTCCGGGTTTCTCTTTGAGAGAGGAAACTGTTGGGTCTAGAGACTGTTTGTTCAGCAGAGTCCAATAACTGCTTCAGCGTCTTACTTCTGACTTTGAGGGCAGACCTTGATTTCGGTTTCCAGCTCTTAGCCAAGAGATGCAAGGGAATCCAGAGAAGAGTCTTCAGGTTTGGCTCACGAGGGCAGGCTAGGCGAAGAGACAGGATTCCTGTGAGGCAAAAAACAATGAAGAGTTAGAATCTTATCTCAACTGGAGATAGCAAAGATTCTCAGGTTTACTAGGCTCAGGTTGCTAACCAAACTAGATCAACACTGCGGCGTTGAGGCAAGGTCTGAAGGCAGGTTATATAGTGGAGGATCCTCTGATGACGAGATGCGCCACAGGTGTGTTGGAGGCTCAGCTCAGGAGGATCCACAGCGCACTCTGCTGGAGAAAGGTGGTACAGCTCCAGATCCAAACACATTGAGTCTTTCCAAGAGAAACACTTCATCAAAAGACATAAATATATGTTCAGATAAACATTTCAGACAACTGTTTTCCGTTCACACCAGAGACAAGACATGAGTATCTTAAACACAATAAGGACCTGTTTATCTATGTTTCCCCCTTATCTAACCTACGGAAGAAACTCCTTTTCAAACCTCCTTCCTTTCTCTACATCTCAGCACAAAGAATGGAACAAAGCCTCTAAACAATCACAATTATTCAGAAAGAAAATCCGGCACACTTTAATATTTAACCTTACTAAGATTCAAGGTAAAACCACAAATCACAATTCCTCCCTTTTGTTCCTTAAAGGAACAATTACAAACAAAAATAAAACAGAGCAAAAACTATAAATAATATTGAATACATCAAAATATAAATGTGTAAAATAACATAATTTGTAATGTTTGTAATAATAGCAAAAACAAAAACAACAAGAATCAGGACAAACATCAATACTTCAGTCTCCATCACTATGCAGCAGTTTAAGGCAGTACCTCCATTGAGACAAATCACTCGAATTAAGCTGTTGTTTCAAAAATAGACATCTAGGTGATCATAAGCAAAATAAAAGAAAATACTTCTTTTTTAAGAATAAGAGCGAGAAAACAAAAAAATTTAAACTGTCATAGTAGCACAACACAAAATTGCTGTAACAAGTACATCCTCCAACAGAACAAATAAACATCAAAATGTCAAAGTCAAAGTCCAACCATCAATTCAACCTAGAATGATTATTCGGACCAAAAGGTAGCCCTTCAACCCAATCAACACAAGAAAGCAGTCTGCAAGCTCAGAGATTTAGTAAAAGCAGCCTAAAGCTGTAAACACCACTAAGGATGACCTTAGGAATGTCATGATGGGTTTCAGAAAAGCCCAGTATGCAGAACACCACGGAAACGGATGAAAAGTTTAACAAGTTTTATTGATCACAAGCACACGGAATAAACACAGGAACTGGTTCAGGCCTGGGGACTGGTTCACTGGAGTATGTGAAGATGACAGTTCAGTTAGCTTGGAAGCAGATGAGTTTGAGAGTGTCAGGTTTATACCTAGAGAAGTCCGGGTTTGGCTTTGAGAGAGGAACTGTTGGGTCCAGAGACTGTTTAGTTCAGCAGAGTCCAATAACCGCTTCAGCGTCTTACTTCTAACGTGAGGGCAGACCTTGGCTTTGGGTTTCCAGCTCTTAGTCCAGAGCTGCATGGGAAATCCAGGGAAGAGTCTTCAGGTTTGGCTCAGAGGGCAGGCTCGGTAGTTAAAGCTCATCCAGAGCTCACAAGGGAAAAACTGGATTCCTGAAAGCAGAGACAAAAGGGATTAGAATCCTATTAGGACTCAAGAGCAACAAAGGTTCTCAGAAGATGCTATGCTCAGGTGCTAACCAACCTGGATTTAACACTGCGGCGTTGAGGCAAGGTCTGAAGGCAGGTTATATACTGTGGGTCCTCTGATGATGAGATGCGCCTCAGGTGTGTCGAAGGCTCAGCTCAGGAGGATCCATGGCGGACTCTGCTGGAGAAAGGTGGAACTACTCCAGATCCCAACAGTACCCCCCTCTCAACGACCGCCTCTTGGCGGTCCAGAAGACGTCGATGGGAGAGAGCGCTCATACTCCTCGATCAACGACGGGTCGAGGATGTAGGAGCCAGGAACCCACTGGCGATCCTCCGGACCGTAGCCCTCCCAATCGACGAGGTACTGCCAACCGCGACCTCGCCGACGGGAGTCCACGATCCGGCGGACGGTGAAGGCAGGATGTCCATCGACTTCCAGGGCGGGTGGAGGGGAGTCGGATGGAGGGCACAAAGGACTAGAGATGACTGGTTTAACCTGAGAGACGTGGAACGTGGGATGGATGCGAAGAGTCGGGGGAAGTTGCAGGCGTATGGCTGACAGATTGATAATCTGGGCAATTTTGTATGGACCAATGTATCTAGGTGAAAGCTTGCGAGACATCCCCTTGAGGGGGATGTCCCGAGTGGAAAGCCATACCTCTTGTACTCAGTACTCTGGGGCAGGACGTCTCTTAGAGTCGGCGAAGCGTTTAGTTGTTTCCGAGGAACGATTGAGTGTAGCGATGGTGTCTCTCCAGATGCGTTGACATCGACGGATGTGTTGGTTGACTGATTGGACCGAAATCTCTCTCGTCTGCAGGAAAAAGTGGAGGTTGATAACCAAGACTAACCTGAAATGGTGACTGGCCGGTGGAAGCTGACTTGAGAGAGTTGTGGGCGTATTCAATCCATGTGATGTATTGGCTCCAGTCGGTGGGGTTATTAGAAGTTAGACAACGAAGGGTAGACTCAAGCTGCTGGTTCATTCTTTCGGTTTGACCGTTGGACTGTGGATGATAACCGGAGGTTAGTGAAGACTTACAGTTGAGTGCTGAACAGAAAGCCTTCCAGACTTGAGAAATGAACTGGGGTCCACGGTCCGAGAGAATTTCTTGAGGGATTCCATGAAGACGAAAGACGTGTTTGACCAGGAGCTGAGCGGTTTGAAAGGCCGTGGGAAGTTTCCTGAGGGGGATCAGATGACAAGACTTTGAAAATCGGTCGACGATGGTAAAGATTGTGGACATACCTCGGGAGATGGGAAGACCAGTGACGAAGTCGATAGCGATGTGAGACCATGGACGCGTGGGAACTGGAAGAGGATGCAACAGACCTGAGGGTGGTTGGTGTGAAGCCTTATTTCTGGCACAGGTAGAGCAAGCCAAAACATATTCCTTGACATCCTTATGCAGGGTGGGCCACCAGAAACGTCTAGAGATTAAGGCGATGGTTCTGCTCACCCCCGGATGAGTGGAAAACTTGGCTGTATGCATCCACTGTATCAGGCGAGATCTAACAGAAGAAGGGACATAAGTTCGGTTTGGAGGACCGTTACCTGGGTCAGGTTCAGAAGCCAGGGCAGAGTTAATAAGATCGGAGGTAACCACTCCAACAGTGCAGGAAGCGGGAAGGACAGGTTCAGGCGTCTCGGATTGATCAACGGAATAAAGACGAGAGAGAGAATCGGGTTTGACGTTCTTGGATCCGGGTCTGTAAGAGATTATGAGGTTGAAGCGAGAGAAAAATAGAGACCACCTTGACTGACAAGGATTGGCTTGTTTAGCAGACTGGATGTGAGCTAGGTTCTTGTGATCAGTCCAAACAAGAACCGGGTGCTCAGCTCCCTCCAGCCAGTGTCTCCATTCCTCCAATGCCAGTTTGATGGCCAAGAGTTCACGGTCTCCAACGTCGTAGTTTTGCTCTGCGGAGGATAGTCTGTGAGAGAAAGGCACACGGGTGAACTCTTTGATCCGTGTCGAGTCTTTGAGATAAGACTGCCCCCACACCAGAGTCGGAAGCATCTACTTCGAGGATGAATTGCTTTGAAGGATCGGGCTGGATTAGCACAGGAGCTCTGGAAAACAAAGTCTTAAGTTTATCAAATGCAGCTTGTGCCTCGGGGGTCCATTGGAAGGTTCTTTTGACTGAAGTAAGAGAAGTTAGTGGAAGAGCTGTCTGACTGTAATTCATGATAAATCTTCGATAAAAGTTGGCGAAACCCAGGAATCTCTGCAACTGCTTACGGTTTTCAGGTACCGGCCACTCCAAAACTGCCTTTATCTTATCTTCAGAAGGCTTGACCTGCCCGCCCTCGAGCACAAACCCCAAAAAGGTGACTGAAGACTGATGAAACTCGCATTTTTCGGCTTTG